AAATGTGTGGAGAAGCCTCCTCTACGCATGAGAACCAATGCTGAATGGAATGTCCATTAACAGGTGAATGGGTAAATGTATTGTGGTATACCTGCACGATGGAGTGCTACCCAGCAATAAAAAGAAATAAACTATTGGGCTTCCCTGGTGGCGCAGTGGTCAAGACTCCATCTGCCAATGCAGGGGACACGGGTTCGAGCCCTGGTCCAGGAAGATCCCACATGCCACGGAACAACTAAACCCGTGCGCCACAACTAGCCACAACTACTGAGCCCACGTGCTACAACTACTGAAGCCTGTGCTTCTAGAGCCCGTGCTCCGCAACAAGAGAAGCCAAAGCAATGAGAAGCCCGCGCATGGCAATGAAGAATAGCCCCCACTCGCCTCAACTAGAGAAAGCCCGCACACAGTGACCAAGACCCAACGCAACCAAAAATAAATAAATTTATATAAAAAAAGAAATAAACTATTGATACATACCATCATGTAAATTCATCTCAAAATAATTATGCTGAGTAAAATAAGCCAGACCAAAAAAAAAAAAAAAAGAGAGAGAGAGAGTACATACTTCATGATTCCATTTATATAAAATTCTAGACAAAGTCAAACTAACGTGTAGTGATAGGAAGCAGATCTGATTGCCTGTGGGGTTGGGAGGAGGGAGAGGGATCACAAAGGTTCAGAAGGAAACTTTTGAAGGTGAGTATGTTCACTTTCTTGACTATGGTGATGGCTTCATGGATGTGTACATTTTTCAAAGCTGATTAAGGTGCTCACTTTAAACATGTGCAGTTTAATGTCACTTATACCTCAGTAAGGCTGTTCGGATTGTTTTGGGGATTTCTGACAATTATAGTAAGTCAAGAAATTTTTTTTAATTGGTTATGAATTTGAAAAGGAGAATTCAATCTCCATTTGTTTATAATATGATTAGGATTTACCAAAGTCTCTTAGGTTTTTTGGGTAAACATAATATAAACAAAAAATACTAAAAGACTTAAATATAACAATGAAACAATAAAAATCTTCTCAGACAATCTAATTCATTATATGTGCCATCTCTTCTAGGAACATTGGCAACCTTCTTCACCAAGACCGGAAACCAAGGAGCTGTAATGGGGGAAAACATCTATAATAGAGACAATAGGCATATTTTAGTTGCATGTAAATAGAAACTTTGGCTATATATACCACAAACAAGTCAATAAACAATATATTAAAATTTTTGCTATACAGAGCACAAAAACAAATATCTTATAAATTTGTAAGAAAAGGCAAACAACCCAAAAGTAAAATGGACAAGGTGTATTAAAATTTCAAGGCAGACAAGCAAATCCAAATGTCCAAAACTATATAAAACATACTCAAACTTTAAGCATCAGGCAAATGGAAATTAATTATTAGATATTACTTTATTTTCTAAAATATTTATTTATTTGGCTGCGCTGGGTCTTAGTTGTGATGTGCGGGATCTTCATTGCGGCATGTATGCGGGATCTAGTTCCCTGGGTTAGGGTAATGTGGGGAGGGCATGGGGGGGAGAAGGGGAGGAGAATGCCAAGCAAAAAAAGCAAAACTACCAAAAAACAACAACAAAAAAACCCCTACAACATTAAAAACATAAAATCCAGGATATCATAGCATCATATTTGTGGATTTATATAAAATAATCTATGTGTATAAAAATATATAAAGACATAAGAACCAAAATACAAATTTAGCAAGTGTTCAATAGATAAAAGAGTACTCATTGTTAGTTTCTTAAAATATAATCAAAGAGAACTGCTCTTCTTAAATATCTGTTTTAAAACACAAACATGGGCTTCCCTGGTGGCGCAGTGGTTGAGAGTCCGCCTGCGATGCAGGGGACGCGGGTTCGTGCCCCGGTCCGGGAAGATCCCACGTGCCGTGGAGCGGCTGGGTCTGTGAGCCATGGCCGCAGAGCCTGCGCGTCTGGAGCCTGTGCTCCGCAACGGGAGAGGCCACAACAGTGAGAGGCCCGCATACCGAAAAACAAAAACAAAAACAACCCACAAACAGTATCTGTATTAGTTTTCTAGGAGCAAATTACCATAAACTGGATGGCTTGAAACAATAGACATCTATTCTCTCACAGTTCTGGAGGCTAGAAGTTCAAAGACAAGGTACTGGCAAGGTCATGTTCATTCTGAAGGGCCTGGGGAAGAATCCTTTCTTGCTCTATCCCAGCTTCTGCTGGTGGCTGGCAATCCTTGGCATTCCTTGGCCTGTAGTGTCATCACTCCAGTTTCTGCCTCTGCCATCACATGGCTGTCTTCCCTCTGCCTGCATGTGTGTGTCTCCAAATCTCCTTCGCCTGAGAGGATCACTGGAGTTAGGGCTCACCTAAACTTGACTACATTAGCAAATAAGGTCAATATTCACAGGTACCAAAAGTTAGGACTTTAACATATCTTTTCAGGGGACACAATTCAACCCACTATAGTATACAACTTATGATAATCAACTAAAACATTTCTATTAAAAGGAGAGAACAACAATGCCACACTTATTGCAAGTATTTAACACTGCCCTGGAAGCTCAAACCACTGCAATAACACAGAAAACAAAAACGAGATAATTATTCGAAAGGAGGAAAAAAGTCAGCATTATGGGCAGAAATCCAGAGCATATGTGTTGATATACCATTGGGTCTATAAGAGAGTTTGAAATGGTGACCACACACACAATAACTAAATACAAATGAGTAGTTTTCATTAACACTAACAAGAATCATAGGAAGCACCATAGAGAAATATGTAGGTATGGAAAGCCTGCTACGCGCTTAGCTTTGTCCTTTAAGAAGTGAGAAGTGCGAGATGGCTCAGTTATTCAGCAGGATTTTCTGGATCCCGGGGCGAGGTTTCTGCTCCAGGCATGCCTGACCTGCTTTACCATGTTGCCTGTGCTCTGCCCCTTGCCAAGGTTACTTTTTTTTTTTTTTTTTTACGGTACGCGGGCCTCTCACCGCTGTGGCCTCTCCCGCCGCGGAGCACAGGCTCCGGACGCGCAGGCCGAGCGGCCATGGCTCACGGGCCCAGCTGCTCCGCGGCATGTGGGATCCTCCCGGACCGGGGCACGAACCCGTGTCCCCTGCACCGGCAGGCGGACCCCCAACCACTGCGCCACCAGGGAAGCCCTGTCAAGGTTACTTTTGATCCTCTCTGCACTCCTCCCTCATGACAGGAAATACAGCTGGGAGATCTACAATTCTCCTTTCTCTGATCCCTCCTGTTTGGTTCTCAAGTGGTTTGTAGGTAGCAGCCCTGAAGCCCCCTCTGTGCTTTCACTTGTGGCTAAACCACTGGAGTTGCTGCCTTGCTGGTTGTTTATGAGAGAAGGTTAATTTCTAGGCAGAAGCCAAAGAGCTGTATTAAATGTAGACCGTTTTAAACAAAGCTGTGGTCTTTTGCCAACTTTTTCCTCCTGTTCATGATTTGGCTTCCCCTCTAGCTGAACGATCATGGGAGAAAATGACAGAAGGACATGACCGTGGATAGAAGAGAAAGACAACTGCAGATTCTGATGGGAAAAGTAGTATTGGGCAGCAAAATGAAAAAAGAAACAAACAAAAAACCACCACCAACAAGTTCACTAGAGTAAGCTAAGAAGATGTGAATGACCAGTTTTCGAAAAGCTCCCGGAAAACACTGAAGAAAATACTTTCTAAGAATTTTCACAATGAAACATTCAGAGCAACCTTTTTGGTTTACTTAAAGCTTAATTTAAAATAATAAATGCTGGGCAATTTCTATTTTGAGTTAAGCCCTTCTTTCTGTACCGCTTCAGCTGCTGTGCCTTTCATGTGGATAGCACCTTTTGATCTAAGTGAGATTGCAAATATATTGGCCAACCAAACAGTTAACTAGGGTTAGTCTTCTGCTGAGTGGGAGAAAGGAAATGGAAAATTTTTTAGAAAACAAAATCCTAAGCCAAATATAGCAAAGATTAAGATCCAGAGAAACATTGTTCTGAATATTGATGGGTAATCCATGAATAATCCTCAGAAATAGATATTGCTGATGTAAATCAGATGAAAAACATTGAGGTGGATTTTTTCCAGCACATATGGCGACAAAGAAGAGTAGAGCAGCGTTACTGTTACCAGGGCCATGAATGCATAATTTTAAAGACTGAGAGGAAGCAAAGTGAGTCCCATTGGTTAGAGAAATAATCCTCTGTAAGTGAGGACAACGTTTCCCTATTAAAAATAGGAGACTGTAAGAAATGAGGGAAAAACTCCATTGTTTTTAATGCCAACCATGATGTGTGGATTTTAAGTTGTTTAAGCTTTTTGCTCCTTCTCAGTAAACATTAACAAGAGACAGGTCCTGCATAGATTTAAATTTAAGTAAGACCTTTCCTGCTCCTTCCCAGTGTTTTTTATTTACTCTACTCCTGTGGTCATGGAATGTAAATATTCTCTTAACTTCTCTTTCTTATCGTATTAAAATAACCACCCGAGAGCTTGAGAATTAAGCAGGATTCTTTCCCCTCAAGGCTGCTTTCAAATTCTAGGCTGGCATCAAATTTCTTTTCATTTCGGTCCAGACAAAATCAAGTTATTTTTTACGTTTAAAATTTTTTATTTCCTCACCAGGAAGAAACATGAATCACTAGTACCTACAAATGCAGTCACTGCTGGTGACTAGGTTTCTAGAAAAAATACTTTTTAGTTTTGTTTGTTCACACAAAAGTGACACACATGGAAGCGTCTCAACTATTCAGATTGTGTTCATGCCCTAGTTAATCAGCCCACTCACATGTCAGTTGTTGGAAAGTGTTCCTCCAGGTTAGAAAAGGAAAATAAGACCCTGGCTTTTAGCCTTGAGACTATGAGTCCCTCTAAAAACTTTTAGGCAAAGTACCATGTTCAACTTCTTATGTGCATTTCTTCTGAGAGGAGATTTCATAGTTTCCAGCACATTCCAGGGAGTCCAGGATCCCACAAATACCAATAATCACTCCTTTATAACAGTTACTGAAAACCAAGGGGCTTTTATAATGCATTCCATACACTTTCTTAATTGGTTACATCAGTGCTTTCCAAATTTTAATTCACATACAGATCATGTAGGGATCCTGTATAAAATGCAGATTGTAATTCAGAAGTTCTGGGGTAGGCTCTGAGACTCTGCATTTCTAACAGATGCTGTTACCGCTGGTCCATGGACCACACTATAAGTAACAGCAAAAAATACGACACACCCAAAGAGTACCCTATGCAGAGCTCAGAAAATTTCACCCATTAAGATGATTCTAATACTGTGTTTATCAATATACCCTAATGTCTGACGAAGACAGGAGAGTGAACACTTACAGCATTGACTTTTGCCATACTTGGAATAAAGCATATATTCACGAGATGATGAAAAGTAACACCCTCCCCACTATTGAGAGGTCTGAATCTGATTTCGTGGTGTCATACAGCATGGGAGCTCTCTGATGGAATTCCCTATTTTTGTGTTTCTTCCATCGCCCCAGTCCATAGAATTGGTTCACAGAGTTTCATAAGATGCTGTCAGCTCTCCCAGTGCAGACATAGATGTAAATTGATGATGCTCCTTTTTAAAAAAAAGTCATTGTTTTGTTATCTTCAAGACTGAAATATTACCCTCTCTTTTTTTTCATCCTCAGGCATATAAAGCCTTGTTACAAACAAGTTTAGAAATAAGCAAAACAAATACGTTTTATTATTCCAGTGGGGACAGGATTAACGCTTTCTCATACATTCACCTTACTTTTCTTCTCCTCTGCGTCTTATGATTGACTCACCCAACGATTATCCAATTACCTATCTGGAAGTTTTACCAATGCCTGAAACTTAACACTAGAAATTTAACAATTCCTCTATCTTATTCATATGTATCTTCCATGACCCAAACAACTTGTGATCAAAACCAAAAGATTTTGTTTGACTCTATGTCAAGCTCCATACTTAATCACTTACCAAATCCTATTAAAATCATCCTCTCTCTTGTTTCCTAAAACAATATCGAGGATTTCAAATGGGAAAGAAAATGAAGAAATATACCAGTTTTTTTCCCTCCAGCCCTAACTAAAAACTGCAGCCTCCTCTCTGAGATCTGAGGGGGAAATGCAGCAGCAGCAAAGAGGAAGAGAAGGCGCCAGAGAAGGAAAAGGGGGCAAAAAGTGTGTTCCAATCTTTCACACACCATCTTAAGTGGAGAGCAGGACAAAAGCCATTTTAAAAATAGTGCTGTGTAATGTAAATGGTTAATAACTTGGGCTCTGCTGTCAGACCTACTTCCAACACTGTTTCTAAGCATTCTCACACCTCACTTTCCTCATCTATAATATGAGGATAACCTTGAGGGTTGTTTTCCAAATTATCCATCCTCCTTCTTCCTTATTAACAAAATTTTATTTAGTGATCTCACAGCTTCCTTTGCAGCTAGAGGTAACGATAAGACATAGTTCTGACCAAAAAGATGCTGATGGAGGTCCTTGAGAAGAGATATTCATTGTCCTTTCTCTCTGGGAGGCAGATGCAATGTCTGGAGAAGTGTCAGTGATACTACGACCATGAAAATGAAAGACATATGCTGAGAAGAGTGAAGAAAGAAGATAGGATTCTTAGTGATGTCATTGAGTAACACAGAAAACTGGACTGGGCTCTTCATTAAATGGAAGAAAAAAAAGAGTGGGTATATGTATATGATTCACTTTGCCGCACACCTGAAACTAACACAACATTGTACATCAACTATACTCCAATAAAGTTTTTTTAAAATAAAAAATAAAACAAATTTTTTAAAATGGAAGAAGAAAAATAACCAACTTGACTTCTCAAACTCTTGTAAAAGTGTTCTCTATTATACGTAACACAATCCTAACTGATACACTATTTCACGGAGTTATTGAGAATATTATTAAGTGTGATCATGAATATAAAAATGGTTCACACAGGGTGTTGCACATAGTAAGCATACAATAAATGTTAGTAGCTATTTCTGGCATTCTATTTATTATTAGTATTATCGATATTATTATTATCCCCCATGGCGTCTTCATTCTTCCCCATCTCTAGCACAAATTTTTTTCCAGTCTACTTTATTTCCACACCGTCAGCCAAATCAAGACACTCATTATGTTGCATCTGGATAATAACCATCCCACCAAGTGTTTTAGTTGTATCTTGAAAGATACGTTATTTTCAATAGGCAGAGAGAAGGGATGAGGGCCTTATTGGTGAGGGAGACAATGGTGTCAACACAGGTGGTGAGGTTGGGAAGCAGAGGATAGCAGAAACTCCATGCATTTCTGGAGGATTAACGTGGGATCAGGTAGAAAGAGAGGTTGGAGCCAGACTGTCAAGGGTTTTCTATGACTGGCAAAGAGCAGACCGAGGAATCTGTAGTATATTTTCCTGTGAAAATTTTAGGGCACTGTTTGGTTTGGTTTTGACACAGGAACTAATACAATTAAAGAAATGAGAAGAGTTCATTCTTTTGCTTACTTGGCTGGCGTTTACTTTGCTCAATTATCACATGAGGAAGTTAAAACAGATGCTCTCAAAGACCTGTGAATATTCTAGAAGTCTAAGATTCATTGGAAACTTCGAGAATATTCTAATATCTAAGCTTGAGTTCAGAGCCTCCATTTCAATGTTAGCCCTGACTTATTCATTTATTCTTTCTTGCAACGAAGTTAATTTCTGTTGCACATTGAGTCTGAGGACATTTGCTGCTACCTCAAATCTCACTGGAAGCCAACTTCAATTATCCATGACCATCAGAAAAATCTTCTTCATAAATTTCAAGAATCTCTAGCAGCAACCCTTGGTCCACCCAGCTTTCACACCCCTCTGTCAACTAACTTCAGTACCAGTGAACTCCATCTCTGTCCTCCCCATCCTTTTACAGTTCACATGTGATTCTAGATCCCAAGGTAAGTGGAATATTAACTTATAAATCAAATGCAATATAATAGTGCAAATGGTTTACTACCTAATAAATATATTGTGCTTGTTTTTAAAAATAAGTTTCCTATTTTTAAGTTATAGTACAATGCCAATCATAAAAGAAAATAGATGAAATATTTTTTAAAAGGAAGTAATAATACCACCATCCAAAGGAAAAGGTGTTAACTTTGGGGGGGGGGTCTTGCTTTGCCAGATTTTTTGTGGCTTTTACATAGTTGTCATTATTTTTAATTTATACATTGTGATTTTATAGCAATGTTTTCCATGTTATTATATTGGCTTTATATGTAACTTTTTGATAGTTACATAATATTTTAAATTGATCATGAAATATTTCATACCAAAAGATATAAGGAATAATAGAATGAAAATCCATGTAGCCTCACAGAGCTTAAGAAATAAACCATTGAGGATAAAGAAGATGTGGTATATACATATACAATGGAATACTACTCAGCCATGAAAAAGTATGAAATAATGCCTTTTGCAGCAACATGGAGGCAACTAGAGATTATCATACTGAGTGAAGTAAGTCAGGGGCTTCCCTGGTGGTGCAGTGGTTAAGAAACCACCTGCCAATGCAGGGGACATGGGTTCAAGCCCCGGTCCAGGAAGATCCCACATGCTGCAGAGCAACTAAGCCCGTGCACCACAACTACTGAGCCTGCGCTCTAGAGCCTGCAAGCCACAACTACTGAGCCCACACGCCACAACTACTGAAGCCCACACACCTACAGCCCATGCTCCACAACAAGAGAAGCCACCTCAATGAGAAGCATGCGCACCGCAATGAAGGGTAGCCCCCACTCGTCACAACTAGAGAGAGCCTGCGCACAGCAACAAAGACCCATCACAGCCAAAAATTTTAAAAAATAACAAAACTGGTGTGTTAATTAAAAAAAAAAGTGAAGTAAGTCAGAAAGAGAAAGACAAATACCATATGATATCACTTATATGTGGAATCTAAAATATGACAAAAATGAACCTATCTGCAAAACAGAAACAGAATCAGGGACATAGAGAATAGACTCGTGTTTATCAAGGGGAGGAGGTTGGGGGAAGGATGGATTGGGAGTTTGGGATTAGCAGATGCAAACTGGTATATATAGAATGGATAAACAACAAGGTCCTACTGTATAGCACAGGGAACTACCGTCAATATCCTGTGATAAACCATAATGGAAAAGAGTATGAAAAAGAATGTATATATATATGTATAACTGAGTCACTTTGCTGTACAGCAGTAATTAACACAACATTAAATAAATCAACTGTACTTCAATAAATAAATAAATAAATAGAAACAAACCATTAAACAACAATACAATATCTGATGACCTGTTATTGGAAAGAAAGGACAACATAAGGCAATGGACTATTACCATTAAAATGCTGAAACAAAACAAGTAGGAGGCAGTCATTTAGAAGTAAGTCTAAGAAACTGAGGACAAGATGCTTTTTTTTTTTTTGTGGTACGCGGGGTCCTCACTGTTGTGGCCTCTCCCGTTGCAGAGCACAGGCTCCGGACGCGCAGGCTCAGCGGCCATGACTCACAGGCCTAACCGCTCCGTGACGTGTGGGATCCTCCCGGACCGGGGCATGAACCCGCGTCCCCTGTATCAGCAGGCGGACTCTCAAGCACTGGCGCCACCAGGGAAGCCCCTCAAGATACTTTCTTGAGGATAAAATCTCTCCCACAACATGATAATAACATGGTAACAACAGTCACTTCTATCAAAGGCAGAATAAAAAACAACAGGGGACCCATTTTTCACTGAAGGCCCTTCTGTATCTTTCATACTGACTTCTGAATACCAGTCAGCTATTCAAAAACACTAAATAGGGCTTCCCTCGTGGCGCACTGGTTGAGAGTCCGCCTGTCGATGCAGGAGACACGGGTTCTGTGCCCCGGTCTGGAAACATCCCACATGCCGCGGAGCGGCTGGGCCTGTGAGCCACGGCCGCTGAGCCTGCGCGTCCGGAGCCTGTGTTCCGCAACGGAAGAGGCCACACAGTGAGAGGCCCGCGTACCACAAATAAAAACACTAAATGTTTTTAAAGCCTAAATAATAAAAAAAAAATTACCTCTTCTATCGGTTATAAAACCTATGTCCCGGGCTTCCCTGGTGGTGCAGTGGTTGAGAGTCCGCCTGGCGATGCGGGGAACGCGGATTCGTGCCCCGGTCCGGGAAGATCCCACATGCCGCGGAGCTGCTGGGTCCGTGAGCCATGGCCGCTGGGCCTGCGCGTCCGGAGCCTGTGCTCCGCAACGGGAGAGGCCGCAACAGTGAGGGGCCCGCATACCGCAAAACAAACAAACAAAAACAAAAAAAAAACCGTACGTCCCTTTTAATTTGCTATTTCATGCCTAACGATATGGTCAAGAGTTATAAAAATATACATTCGTAAATCTAGAAGAAATGAACATGAGTACCCAAAAGAGAAGTCAATGAAGTCAGTAAAACTGAGGAGAAAAAACCAATACAAGGAAAAACAAGACTGAGCTTCAGAATAAGGAGTGCTTCCATCTGTTATATAAAACTGTTACATAAAAACTATGTTCCTTATGAATTTGCTTTTTCATTCCTAATGAAATGACCCCAAATTAAAATATATCTTGTTAAATCTAGAAGTAGTGAAAAGAAGCACCCCACAGATAAGTGGAGTCCTCAAAACGGAGGGGGTAACATATGGGTAAAAACCAGGTCAAGCTTCATGAGAGCGAGAGGTGGTCCAGAAGTGGGGAGGAAAAAGCTCAATCTGTATTTAATTTTCACAAAGACTTCCATTTACAGGGTGCTTGACAGACTCAGAAAACACTGATGATTTCATATTTAAAAGCCACAATTTAATTCCCTGTACTATTTTCCCAGAGAAGCAGCTTAGCATAATACTTAATAGCACAGCTTTGAGTTGGCCTAAATCACTTCGAATCCTGGTTCTGTCACTTATTAGCTATGCACACTTGGATAAATGCTTCAATTTCCTCATCCAGAAAATGGGAAAAATAATAGTACCTATCTGATATAGTTCTTGTAAAGATCAAATGAGGTAGCACAGTACTAAATTGCTTAGGACAGTATATGGCACATAGTAAACAGTCAATAAATGTTTATGTGTGTTTATAAATGTGACAGAATTTTACTTAAGCCTTACCAGTGTTAATATAAACTTTGTTGCTTAGAAACCAACTTGTGAAAAGTATTTTCAATGATTTTTATTATTCATTTGCATTTGATTAAACTCGATAAGTATACGCTATTGGAATAATGTACAAAAGTTTTTTTAGTTTTAGAATGACTACAACCTGCTGCTCTGGAAAAAGGAAGATCCCTTGTTACACAGTGCCATGTATACCCTCCTCTAGGAATTTTCTCAAATGTAAATAAATGCAAAGTGTTTAAAGAAAGGAAAATTAAAAGTGGAGGGGACTCCCTGGCAGTCCAGTGGTTAGGACTCCACGTTTCCACTGCAGGGAGCACGGATTCGATCACTGGTTGGGGAACTAAGATCCCGCAGAGCTGCTAGGCACAGCCAAAAAAAAAAAAAAAAAGTGGAATTCTATGATTTGTGAATTATATTCCAATAAAGCTGTTGTCAAATTTGCTACACATTTTCCCTAGGTTTTTTGGGGTCCGTGGTTTAGTTTTTAAATAATGCCTATCAGTATAGAATTAAAGTGTTTAATACTTGATTCTATTATAATGTCAATTTGCTTATGTGAGTGGTCACACATAATAGATAGGATATTTTGATGGTAAAATCATTAATATATCATTAAATTTACAAATGTATATACTAATCTGAAATTGGCTAAATTTTAAGATTCTCTTGGTGGTCTTAAATCATCCATTTCCTAGAACAGCGTTTAGGGTGCTGCTGACCCCAATGAGGTTTGTAAAGCATGTGCCATCTTTAGTATCTTATGGAGAACTTTCATTTATGTTTTCTTTCCTTTATTTACTTATTTTTGTTTTCCTAAGAAAATAATTAGCAGTTCAAGTTTAAATGACCATTAAATCCTTTCAAATTCCATTTCACTAAACCGTCTAATGTTAGGAAACTTAGCACCCTTGCTATTTCTTTACGAATTTCTTCCACTTTGAGAGGTGGGCACTTCTGAGATTTTAAAATAAAAATTTGGCCTTAAAAAATTTTAAGACACAGAGAAAGACTAATATTATATAATATCACTTATATGTGGAATCTAAAAACTAATGCAAAACAGAAACAGACTCACAAACATAGAAAACAAACTCAAGGTTACCAAAGGGAGGGATAAATTAGGAGTTTGGGATTAACAGATACACACGACTATATATAAAATAAACAACAAGGGTTTACTGTTGTATAGCACAGGGAACATAAATTCAATATCTTGTAATAACCTATAACGGAAAAGAACTGGAAAAAATATATATATATATAAATATCACTGAATCACTTTTCTGTACACCTGAAACTAACACAATATTGTAAATCAACTAAACTTCAATTTAAAAAAGTTTAAGACACAGGTTGAAAGAATCAGTGGTTTCACTCTGAAGGGAAGAAGAAATAGTGACATTTATTTACCATTCTTATACCTCCTCTGTTATGAAGAAAGCATTCCTAGGAATTAGTAGAAGTCTCCTTTGAAGGCTTATAGAATTAATAGAGCTCTTAACAGGCCAAAAGAGCTATCATCTACTGCGCAGTATTTATTGAGCACTGCTTTATGTCCAAGCCTACTGCAGGTGCTGGGAGATATAAGGAGAGTGACTAAGAGGTCCTTTCAGGTAAGGCAGAGAAGGAAAGAGAATAGTGAGAAGTCCACCTGCAGGTACCGGAGCCAGGATACAAATGGTCTTTTATAACCTCCTAAAGAATATGGATTTTTTCCCGCAGCAGTTGACAACCTTAAAATATATTTTTTTCTTTTCTTTTGGCCATACCAGTGGGCATCTTTAAATGCACTGCCATGCATGGTGCTACCTTTGCCATATTTGCAACACCATGAATCTAATCAAATGAAAAAAGTCACTATTTCTCTTTGAATAAAAAGATGTGTTTTAAAAGATAATAAAGGAGACAGCATGGAAAATGGGCTGCACAGAGGAGATATGGAAGGGGGGTGACCATTGGGAGACAGATTGCAATAGTCCAGGTGAGATAAGATGAAAGTCTGATATTACAAGACATCCTGCTCAGCACTGCAGGGAACAGAAGCTGAGCAAGACACGGCCCTGCCTCGAAGGACGAATGAAGAAGAATGCCGAACTCCACGCTCATTTACCCCAACATGAGGCTCCTGGAGCCAGTGATGTAGAAAGCTATGAATGAGAGAAGATGGACTTTTATTAAAATCCTGCTGAAGGTAGAGATTATAGAAAGCAATAATTCTTGCTTGATCTGTTCAGTTGGACTATGTTGTCTCCCTTGTCTTTAGGTAATCAATTTCTACACCCTGCTGTTTGTGTTTTGACCGACCATAGAAAACAAGGTACCCGGGAACAATGCAGTCAGCAGTTGCCTGGACTTGTTATCGGATGTGATTTCAGTAACTAACTACTTGCTGACTCAGAGACAAGAGGAAAGCAAAAATCTCTCCCAGTTCTGTGGACAGCCAAGTGATTACAAGACTGTCAAAGTTCACAGGGATGGACACCCAGCTTGCTCATTTGCTGTGTCATCCGTTAAGCAGGACCGAAGTTCCATTCTAAATGGAAAGAACTACGCGAGTTATGTAAATCATTTTCAGGGCTAGGTGTCCAGGACCAGGTGGCAAAAAAACCAGACACCTTTCCTGCCCCGAGGCCCCATTACTCACCTGAGTAGCTCCATAGAGGGAGCCAAGAGCAAAGCTACTGCAGCACCTCCCCCATCTCTGTTGGAGAAAACAGACACCCAGCACAGAGCCTAGTCCCACAGTAGAAAAAGGATGGGATGTGGAATCAGATATGGCTGAATGCTGGCTTTGTCAAGGCTGTGTGACTTCCTGCAAGTCAGTTAAGCTCTTTCAGCCTCAGATTTCCCACCCATAAAATAGTGCTTACGATATGACCACACCTATCTCTGCAAAATAATATATTCACAACACCTGGCACTCTCCTACTTTGTTGGGAGGAATGTAAAATGGTGCCGCCTCTTTGGAAAACAGTGTAGCAGCTTCTTAAAAAGTTAAACATCAATTTACCATACAGCCCAGCGATCCTACTCCTAGGCATCTACCCAAGAGAAATGAAAACATATGTCCACACAAAGACTGATGTGTGAATGTTCATAGCAACATTATTCATGAGTGAACCACAAAAACATTATGCTAAGTGAAAGAAGCCAGATGAAACAGATCACATATATTATGAGTCCGTTTACATGAGGAAAGGCAAACCCAGAAAAGACAAATCTACAGAGACTTCCAGCAGGTTAGAGTTGCCAAGGGCTGAGGGAGCGGGGAGGGGAAGAGACTGCAAATGGGAAGGAGGGATCTTTCTGGGGTGATGGAAATGCTCTGAAATTGGATTGTGGGGACGGATGCACAACTCTGTAAATTTACTAAAAGTCACTGAACACACACTAAAAAATGGTGGAATTTTATGATATCTAAATCAGACCTCAATAAAGCTGTTTTTAGAAACCCACCAGACATGTAGTAGATACTCAATACTATAGCAAATCACTAACATTTAATAAGCATTTACTGGTAAGCAACTTTAAACACATTATGTGCCATAGCTCAATTTAACTCATGTATTTCTAAGGCCTATTTCTTAGTTTCAGTCTTTCAAATACCACTTTCATTATTTTTTCCATATTCACTTCCCATCAACACCAATTATCAACCAAATATTGTTCTTTAAACAAAATTACTTACATAAAACTTAGAGAAATTCATTGAAAAATAAAACACTATATCCCTATGGTAAATGCAAAATCAGTATCATTTGTCATAAATAAAAGGTACTGTAAAAATAAACACAAGGAAAGCCAAACGATCTTAGTTTGTAGACACATGTTGTTACCTAAGGAAGGCTTGCTCTCTCTGCTTGAAAAAGGAGACTGAAAAAGTTAGCCAGCTGATTCACACCAGCACAAACAGAGAATTTCGCTCTGATGTAATCAGAACCCGAGACTGGGATCCCAGGCTGAGAACAAAGAAGGTTTTCTTGTGTCCCCACCGTCAATAGAGTTGAAAACAATTGAGGCCAGATACCTTCTTAGGTTATCAGAGGCGGAGGTGGCAGAGCCGCAGAAAGAGCAGATGCCTGGATAGAGGGGCGGGGAGAGGTTGAGGACCTTCAGTCCTGACTCCTGACTTGGTCAGGAATTCTGCCTCCCCTGAGGCAGGAAGGAGCCTGAGAGAATCACTCTCAGGGACCACAGAATAGTAAGGAAGGAGGTGGCGTCCATCCACTGGAGGTCGGAACCGGTCTTGACCTGGAGCTGCGACCCCAGCAAGGAGTGTGGAGACAGAGGCTTCGGAGGAGCCTTGGTGCTCGCCTCCCAAGCCCCATGCCCACAGAGTGGAAAGGACATGGAATGGGAGCTGAGGGACAGTTGAGGCGGTCGAGCCAGAGTGACCCCGCGATGCCAGGGAGCTACGCAGGTCCTACTGAAGAATGCGTCCTCACACTAGTGGGAGAATCAGAATTTAAGACGCCCAGAACAAGGGGACCTCAACAGCCAACAATGTCAGCCAGGGAGGCAACTGAGCCAAAGAGGATCCCACATCGTTTAGGGAGGAGACATTTTCCCCTCTTCCTTCTTTCCCAGAATCATGGGAGAAAGCGATTTCACTGAGCATGGCAGAAGGGAAAAGAGAAAACATTTCAGGTTTGTACCTCACTTGATTCAGATTGTTCAATAAACTGGGTAGAGGAGGATTAAAACAACTTAAAAAGATCTCACTTTCACACTCTGCCATCCAACTGCTGCCTAGACTGTGACATCTAAAATCATCTCTGGTTCCTCCTACTGTTTAGAAAACACTGCTCAAGGGAAGGTGAAGAGATGCAATCCAACTGGGATGCTGAAAACGTGATAGAATGATACCTGAACAGCCTCTCCACCCACTCTTTATCAACCTTGGTCTGTCTTTTCCAAGCTATAGAGTCCATAAAATTTAGTAACATTACATCCTTGACCAAAATGACTGTTTTTCTCTCAGTTTCCCCCCCTCTTTCTATTTCTCTCACTTGTTCTATTTTCCTTCCCTCTTACTGACTTCCAGTTCTTGAGTTTCCTTGGTCAGCAAGGGAGAATTACTCTCCACTGGTGGGTCTTATGGTCAAATGAGAACCAGGACACCATGGGAGGCAAAATGTTGGGGAACAAAAACTCCTGCCTGCAGTGGGCAGGGTTTGAGTTCAGGTTCTGCCGTGTTATCTATATTAGTTCACATTCTGAGCATCAGTGCACAAGGGTTTTCTTTTCCCCACATCCTCACTAACACTTGTTATTTCTTGTGTTTTTGATGACTGCCATTCTGACAGGTGTGAAGCTGTATCTCATTGTGTTTTTTATTTGCATTTCCCTGTTAAGTGGTATTGAGCATCTTTTCATGTACCTGTTGGCCATTTGTATGTCTTCTTTGGAAAACACTGTGAGTTTTTTAAAAAGTAAAGTAGTGCTATGTGTTGTTCATGAATACATACATATGAAGGGAAAGAACTTCAAATGTGTGGGAAAACACATTAAACTCATGCTAATGGGGAGAAAGGGGCCATGAGACTGGGGAAGTGTATCCAGGGACTGAAAGAAATAGTCAAGGCAAATATAACAAATTAGGAACAACCGTTCAATCTGGGTGGTAGGCACATGAATGTTTACTATACTGTATTACTCTCTGTGCTTTTGTCTTTTGAAAAAATATTTTTCTTAAAAAATGTTTCTGCTCAGTGTTGAAAATCTGGAGAAAACAGAAAAGGGTAAACCCAATAACAATAATAAAAACCCAACGTTCATGGGTATATGTACCTCCCATCTTTTTTATTCATTTATGCATACAAATGCACTTAAACACAATTGGGTCGTTCTGTTTTGTGGTACCTAAGTTGCATGCTGGCAGCTGGGTTGGATGGCCTAGTTGTCAATGAGCAGGCCTTACGAAAATGAAACATTCCCTCCACCCTTTTATTATTGAAGCTTCAAACACCGGCCTGGTGTTTGTTTTTCATTTATACTTTACTGTGTTACATGATGCCAAATTCATCTGCCAATTCACTCCATTCAGTTTTTTCTAAAAAGTAAAATCGTTTTTTGGTGTTGTATAGATACCAAATGTTCAGGTGATCAGCTAAAGTTCTTTATTATCTACTTGGTTTAGAATTATGTGTCTTCCTTCTACCCCAGTAATATCAGTAGATGAGGGTATGTTTTTTTCTCTTCACCCTTTCACTTTTCAACCACCTACTTCTTTGAGTTTGAACCAAACTCAGGAGTTGGTTTGAATACTCAACCAGTCAGGAAATCTGGATTTGGTCTCTAACAGCTAAAAAAGTCACCTGAAAGTCTAAAACTGCACTGTCCAGTGTAAGTAGCCACTAGGCATATGTGGCTCTTTAAGTTTAAATTTATTAAAACTGAATAAAATTTAAAATTCAGTTCCTCCATTACAGGAGGCACATGTCCAAGTGCTCAGTATTCACATGTGGCTGGTGGCTTCCATGCTGGACAGCCCAGGTCTAGAACATGTCCGTACCTCAGAAAGAACTGTTGGACGGTGCTGGTCTAGATCATGTGCCAGCAATTATGTCATTTCCTGCACTTTCCAAATGCCCCATCTTCATCTTCCTAACTTTGAAAAGCTTCTGCAGGTGCAACTGTGGATGAGGAAACTGTGGGTAAGACATGAATGTTGAAGTAAAAACTAGCTAATTAGAGTCCTCTTCACTCTTCCCTGGGGACCACTATTTCTCGTAAGCTACTCGGGCTTCTGTCCTGGCCTCCATCTTTGAGTTGTTATAAGATTTTCAGTAAAGATCTTACCAAGAGACAGAGGTAGATCCAGGGACCCAAGGCTCCTTATTATGTTTATTTATGAAAGAAAGTTTGAGGATTTGAGGCAAATGTAATCGGTAATCCAGTTTTGTCCTTAGACAAAATTCTAGTCACTGCTTCCTTCTTGGAAGGTAGACTAACAGTCAACTAATGAAGTGTGGAGAGCAGGAAATTGGCTAATTTGCATCCAGTGACTCCATAAGGTCAATAAGTGGTCACAGCTCAGAATGGCTCTTATTTTTGTAGAGGACATGCTCTACGGACAAATAAGGTGACAAGATAAAGTAGCACTTGTAAATCTTTGAACCGAGGAAAAATAGTTAGCAAATGAAATTTCTCGTGAATACACCTTTCCTAAACTTATGAGGTGAGTTTTTCTTCAAATTCTCTCCATTGTTTCTGTGTACCTAGTGCACCGTGATTTAACTTTTCTTTGTTTTTCTTCTCCCTCTGTACTTTTCCATTTGGCTTTTACAGAAGTGTGCTCTACTGCTATTCTAGAATGAGTCTATATACCACTTAACCCTTAAATCACCACATTTTATTAGAACACCTACAGAGTATTTATTATTTCAATTAATAAATGTATATCTTTTTCGGGAATTGTCTTGGGGCATGAGTACCAAGTGAAAAACACTCAGAAAATTATGCAGAACTATAAAAGCCTTCAGCCAATGACAAATGTACTCTTTAGGCATTACGCCATTTAAAATAATTCCAAAGTAGCTTTCACAAAATACTGTCTTATGGAGAAGCCAGCTGAAAAAAGATAAATGTTGGTACAGAAACTCTGAAGGAAGCCAAACTAGGGGCTTCACCAGGGCTGGAGTGGGGAAGAACTTAGGTAAACAAGTGTCCTGCACCATGAGGCCTCTGTGGTTTCCAGGTCCCTCTTCTCTAGATGGAATTTGGGACCTGTGAGTAGGTGTACCCCACCAGATCACAAATTGCTCCAGCACTGCAGAGGGCAAGA